TTCGCTCTGGAGCAGATTTCCAAGGTGCATGTCTGTTCCCTCCTCCTCCTCCACTCTTCCCTCTTCTTCCTCTTTGGGATCCCTGCCACACACGCACACAGACACCCTCCTGAGAAAGCAGAAGACAAGTGAAGGTTGAAAATTTCAAACCCTCCCTCCGGACTTCGGAGGAAAGGGCTGTCTGAGGTCCGCAGGGGGTGGAGGGGTGCGTGCGTGCGTGTGTGTGTGCGTGTGTGGTGTGTGCGCGCGCACACGCCCTCCCTGGTGTGCCTTTTCCGGAGCTTTGGAAACCGTCCTGAGTGGACCACCTCCAGGGCGGCCGCAGTGCAGCACTGCCCCCGGCCTCAGCGCCCTTCACCCGCGCCCCTGCCTCCGTTGCAGCGTAAACCTCCGCGTTGCCACATTTCTTAACCTCTTCGTGGTGGAGGCGGAGTGGAGAGAGGCGGAGAGAGGCAGAGGGGAGGGAGCCAAAGTAAAGGTGGTTTCCTTTTTTGGCAGCCGGTTCTGCTTTCCTTGAGCTTGAAATCTCTGCTCCCTTAAAAATTATTCTCGGGAGAGGACGTCCCCTCTCTTCCAGGTTTTGGGCCGCCTCTTCTCCCAGCCTGCCGGGGAGAAGGGCAGTTGTAAACAAGTTGCCACCTTAAATCTTCGGTGCTGGTGTGAGGAACGGCCGGGTTCATTGTGTTTACGAGGCTGGCTGAAATGTGTGGAATCCAGGGAAGGCGAGCACCTAGCCTGGGGCCCGCTGGGGCCCTGGCCAGCACCAGGGCTCCGCCATCCCGACAGCAGCCTGCGCCTAGTCAGGACCCCCGCCGGCGCCAGCCTGGGCCTCTTCCCCGTATACTCGGCTGTTTTTTTTTTAAAAGATTTCACCAGGAGGGAGTGGGAGAGGAGGGAAAGATCCTTATGGCCGCCCTCTTCAGAGCACAAATAGTGTAAGTTGCAGATGGCTGCTGCACTTCCTAACTGAGCTCCCGCGGAGTCTCCCAAGGCCGTGGAAAAGTGTGTGGAGTGAACCCGGCTGCCGGGCTCACCACGTGGACCCCCGCGTGCAACCACCCGCCAGGCCGGGGGCCAGGTGGGCCACGGTAGCTTTATATTGTCCCTAAGTGTGCTTGCGCTCTTCACCCGCCCTCCGGGGTACCCAAGGAGGCCAAAGGCTGGAGCCGGATTTAGGGCAAGGGGGCAGTCGTGGCCTGGTGGTTTAGTGTTGGGCTTCTCAGCTAGGATCACTCAGGCCCTCTCTCTCCAGGTCCTCGATACTAGTGCCTGCCTGTCTTTGGCGGTTCCTCTGCTAGCCTCTCTCCCCAGCACCCCAAGTCTCATTCAGGAAAGTGCTCAGGCCATGCGTGGGGATACCCCGTGGTACCTAGAGTGCAGTTCTCACGCTGCAGCCTCGCTCTAATTTACAACCTAGTCCCCCACGCCTCCAGGGCTCCCTCTGACTAGTCCTGGTTCCAGCCCCGAGGGCAAGTCCCTGCGCCACGGCCGCCCACGCCCCCCACTGTTGGGGGGGGGATCCCCAGGC